GATTATCACATACATTTTGTGGAACTGTTGGAGGTGGTCTTAAGCTCAAGCTGAATCACGGAAATCAAATTATGTCATATAGTACTGCCAGTCATAAGTACTGCCAGACTGTCTTAAAACAAGGCTATCTTCCTAATTTTTTTATGCTGTGCTATTTCCACTTTTTAAAAGTAGAAAGCTGAGAACTACCTAAATGCTGTATGTATTTAAATATTCTAAGGGAGCTTTCATTCCAATATTATATTTTCACACAGCATGTGAAAGCAAATATTGATTTAAAATCTACTTGTGGACTGGAAATTCCATTTGTGAACAATGTTTTCTGTGTGAACTATTTAATGGAGTGCTGTGTTTCCTGTCATACATCCAAGTCAATATATGTATATCTAAATAGAACTTTAAAATCAATTTGTCATTTTTTATTATTATTTGTTGTAATGTACAGAATTAATATCCTTTTCTTTTTTTTCCTTTTTTTTCTTTTTTTGCATAAAAAGCTAGAGTTACAGAGAAGCAATGAGGAAGGTACATGAGAATTACTTAAGTAAATACCTAATCTTTGCACTTACCATGTAATACATATTATTTTCTAGTGAGCATTTGAAGAGAGAACTTACTCTAAAATCTGAAATATATTCTTATTCATTTCCTTTAGTATTTCTAATTATATAGTATTTGGATGTCATTTTATAAGAAGAAATCTTAAGTAAGGATTTAATTAATCAGATGAATGGAGATCATCATTTTTGCCCACTCAAGGCATTATGGATGGGAAGAACAGCCTTTACTGGTCAAGGACCAGGCATGATCATAAGTATTTGTCCCCTGTTATCTTAATGTACTTATGTGCTCTCACACATTCAGAAATTGTACAGACTTGTATTGAGAAATACATGGGGCTTCAGTGATCTGGTCTAGTCTGCGTGCTTACACAACAGGCAGGAGGTCAATAGTGGCAGGAAAGGAGCAGCAAGGACCCTGAAGAAGGGGAAGGCAAGAAGGTCTCTGTGCTGTTACTATTCTTATGGGCCATTTGGAGTCAGATCACTGGAAATTGTTGTTTTGTTCACACTGGTCAAAATACGGTATGTTAGTGTCACATATGCAAACACAGGCAAAAAATGTGCATTGATCTAACAGTGCTTCGAGAGTAGTAGCTGCCAAATCTTTTTGTTTCTTCAGTTGGACTACAATTCTCTGATGCTGAGTAGTCTTTTTCCATTTAAAGTACTCCTACCAATATTGTAACAACACAGCTATATAAATATCACAGAATCATAGAATGGCTTAGGTTGGTTGGAAGGGGCTTTAAAGATCACCTAGTTCCAGGTGCCACAAGCAGGGTTGCCAGCCACTACTTCAATCTGTCCAGGGCCTCATTCAGTCTGGCTTTGAACACCCTCAGGGATAGGACATCCACAAGTACTCTGGGTAGCATATGCCAGTGCCCTTCAACCCACAGAATCATACAGTTGTTTAGGTTGGGTGTAAATAGCATTACCCAAATTTGCAAAGAGAATAAATATTTTTTAAAAATACTGCATGTCTCAGTTTGTTATCTCCTGAATATAAGAATTGTGCCTTGTTCCTCCAACGTGACTAGCAGTAGAAAAATCAAAACCCTGTGCAGACTTTATGTTACCTCAGTTTAAGAAACAAGGAAAAAACAACACCAAATTGTTTACTGTCATTTTTTTGAAACACACTTGGATTTTTCAAAAATAGAGGAATACATTTTCTAAAGGCAATAATTTAAGTCCTCAGTTGTGTATTTGGAATGTTAGTCTGAGTAAGAGAAAAAGCTTTTTAATAATCATTTGTGTAGTTCTAATAATCTTTCATAATCTTCTAAAAGATAAAAAGTTTGGCTTGCTCTTACAGTAGAACTATATGAATGATACATAATTATTAAAATCTTAGAGAAGTTACACTATAAGGATACACTGTACACTATAATCTTCTTTCTGTTCTTTTTCAGCCATTATTGTGTACAGGTTGCCATGGACCTGGAAGTGCAGCAAACTTCTAATGAAGTTCATACATGCCGGATTAAATACCATAGCTATGATTCTTGCAATTGTTTCTATGGTAGCTGTGTTTGACTACCACAATGCCAGGAGGATCCCCAACATGTACAGTCTGCACAGCTGGATTGGGCTGACTGCTGTTATATTGTATTCTCTTCAGGTCAGAATTTAATTGTGTTTATAAATCAGTTGTAAAATTAATGAATGCATTGAGTAATTCAAGTACAATAGGCTCTAAATAATAAGACTTGTATTCTAGAATGCACTCTATTTTATATTCTGTGATTTGACAAATCATCATGTAAATGAGCAATTACTGGATCCCTGACTTCAAAGAAAAATGTATTTTAAAACATATTTTGTTTACTCACTGGTTTTATTTATTGTGATTCAATTTGTTGGCAGCATATTTAAGCACAGAACTTTTACTGAGGAATTCTCAAACAAAGTAACTTTTTTTTTCTTTTTCTAGTTAGGATAATTTTAACTTTTCATTTCTTGGCCTCAGGACTTGTCTATAACCAGAACAAGTGCAGCATGGAGCAGAGCAGATCTCATTTATTACAACAGGAAAAATGGCATTGATAAGTGTCCATATGCATGTTTTTAACTGTTCCTATTGCCAGAAAATTAGATTTATCTTATCTAAATTGAGCTAACTTGTTATGTTTTGCATTTGATACAGAAGGAGAGCAGGGATGCCCTGGTATGTAGCACACATACACAGGTGTGATGTTTTAGCACATAAAATTCTGAAGTCTCTCTATTGTATTAATTACACTTTAGAAATAAAAAACAATCAACCAGGAGGGAAATCCTACATATGGGGCATTTAATAAATCAGCTTTACAGTCCAAAGCAATTCCACTAAACTGGTAGATCAAGACCAGAGTTACCTCAATGCTTTTTATTCAGTTTTAAAACCTTGCACACCAAGAATCTGCACTTTTAACTTCCAGGGTTTTTTTTAAACTTCATTCCATGAAATTGTATTTCAGAATAAAAATTAAAGGCAATTTGTGTTAGAGTCTCTTAAATCTTAATGGAGGAGGAAAAGCAGTAAACAATTGCTTTTCCTTGTCTTCTTTATTAACATCTTTATTGAATGCATACCGAGAGAGTATTTGTAATGATAACCTACATCATTTAGCTGAAATTGCATCTTTTTAAAGTTGAAGCTGCTTTTTGCTTAAGTTGCATTGTTTTTAGTAAATGAAAGCTCAAACAAGTTAGTTTATTTAAGAGAGTTAGCTCTGTGTGGTCAGGTTCAGACTTTAAAATGAATATTAAGAAAAATGGAAGAAACATTTGTCTTACCTAGCACAGCCCTTATTGGAAGTGTTATTTACTTTACATTTATTTATTTTTATTTACTTTAAATAATAAAAGTATAGCACAGACTTCTTTAAATAAAAATTAATCTAGCAAAACTCTAAAATTACCATTAAAAACTTGTTGTAATTAAAAAAGAAACTAAATTTTGAATACAGCATTTATTTTGTTCCTTTAAGAAATGATGCTTAACTTCTTAGCCAAATGAAAAGAAAAAATCATAATGACCTGGTTATCAAGCACAGAACGTACCTTAGCTAAGGGATTTGGGTTCTGGATTTCTATCCTTCACTGCTCAGGCAAGGAGGTACAGGAGGTACAAGGAATAGTGCTGAAATAATAGTATTTATCACCTAGGAAAAAAAAGAAGGCATATTGCAGCACTGATAATCATATACTTCATACTTTTTTTTTTAAATGCAAAAAAAAAGAAACAACAACAGAAGAAAATCTGGAAAAGTAACTTGAGTGCCTGTAGCTGAACCCATATGACATGGTGGTGTTCTCTTCCACCACAGAATTAAGACTGATGGGAGGACCTGTGGCCCTTGAACAACCCGACACTCCCAACACACATCCTCATTTTAAATGCCAACAGACCTCTGCCCTTCTAGAGGAGTGTAGTTTAACTTACTTAAAGCCCTAAAAGGATGAAATCTATAGGCCACTCAGGAAAAAATGTTAAACTCCATTCTGATCTTCATTTACATACAAATCTGAACAGAAGGGGAGAAAAGGACTTAAAATTGAAGGGACTCTGAAAATGTAGTCACCCATTTAGTATCTTATTTACATTACTGAAACTGAAAAGTTACCTTTACAGTACTCAGATTGGTAGCAATTTTAGCATTAGCAGTATGTTTAGATACTGGTATGAGGTGGAATTATTTTTAAAATACTTTTATGTCTGCTTTCCAGATGATGATCCAGAATGATTGCTTTGGTTTTGTAAGAATACATTAAAAAATAAAAATACCAATTCCTCTTAATATCTTAAAGTATATCAAAACTGAATTTTATGATTTCAATTTCGCTTCAGAAGTACAGCTTGTTTCCCATATAGCTTTAACTATGAATTTGTTTTGTGTTTAGCTTTTCTTAGGTTTTGCTATCTTCCTACTCCCATTTGCTCCAGTACCTCTCCGAGCAGCTCTCATGCCAATACATGTTTATTCAGGGCTCCTCATCTTTGTAACAGTGATTGCATCAGCTCTCATGGGAATCACAGAGAAACTTTTATTTGCACTGTAAGCATTCATTTTTCACTTGTTTATTAAGTTTGTTCATTGCATACTGTAATTCTCTTTGTGCAGAATAACGACAATCTGGTATTAAGATAGCACTTTGTTTTAAAAAGACCTCTTACCTATTAGGAGACTACTGGTTTAGACTCAAATTGTCTTTAAAACAATTGTCTTTTTTTTCTCCTTCCAAAGGAATAGTACTGTGTACAGTACATCCCCACCAGAGGGGATTTTTGTCAACAGTCTTGGTCTCCTGATTGTCATATTCGGTGCACTTATTTTGTGGATGGCAAGCAGGCCCCAGTGGAAGCGCCCACCAGAAGAGAATGCTAAAGTTCAGCGGCCCAACGGTGGGGCTCCTGAAGGCATGGAAGCAGAATCCACAATGACAGATGGCAGCAATGCAGACAAATCTGATGTGGGGTTCAACAGTGAAGCAGCCAGAAAACGACACTTCAAACTTGATGAAGCAGGGCAACGATCAACTATGTAAAGAAAATATATACAATAACAGTACTGCTATACCACAAAAAACCCGTTCCTTCCAGTTTAGTCATATGGATATATACTACGTGTCCCAAACACACTGTATTGGTTCATAGTCAGTCCTCTCTCAAAAAATTGAGAGCATGGACAGCATCACATATTGGGAAAACGTTTTCCGTATCACTCCTTAAATTAACATGTCTAAGAGTCATGAAGAGTTATTGAAACTAAATTCAATTTTGATAGATTTTTAAGGTATGAGAGAAATATTGTGAAATATACCAGAAAACAGAATTTAGCCATTAGCACATAACTTTTTTGCTAATGTTCATTTTTCTGAAGTTGTGATCTATCACATTGATTAAACCCCTCACCAACTGCTAAGATCTGCATTGAGGTTACTCAGCACTTGGCTGAGTTGCACTATAAAATCTTTTAATCTAAAATTTTGAATTTAAAGAAATTGACAGCTTGCCTGATATCTTCATGAAATGTTCTGCATTTAAAGCCAGCTCAATTTTTATTTTTATTTTTTAAATCTGAATGTATCTGTTGACTTTTTTTCAATCAGCTTCACCAAATATATCGTATAGATAACATATCATTGTTGAAATCGTAAAAGATCCAGGAGTCTGATTTTGAAAGGCATAAAGGCACGCTTAGAAAAAAAAGTATCGCTTAAACCAGGACTTCCTTCTATCCCAGAAGGCTGTGATTTACTCTCTTGATTTGATTGCACAGTTCCTTGGCATTAGACTGGAAATTAGTAAGTTAGAAAACAGAACAGACTGGTAGCAGACTCAGAAGAAAGGAGCTTGAACCAAGAAGTGTTTTCTGCCAAAAAACAATTGAGCTTTGCTGATTTGACTGAAATATTACCAACTAACTGAAAGCTAGTTGTAGTATTTACGTTCTGGTGCCACAACCATCATCATCACCAAAACGAAGACATTCTTTAGTATACATATAACTACATATAAACTCTATGACTTCTCTTATTTGAAATTTAAGTGTTAAATAATGCAATTCAAGTCTCTACTGGCACTTTACTTTTATAGCTCTTCTAGTAATCAGAGTATTAATGTGTTATGCTCATTCAGTTCTTTCACAGATATAAAATGTGCTTATGTTTTTTTACTACTATAGAAGAATTACAGTATATTATTTTGATTGCACATTTCCAGAGTTATGAGCCTTTGTATTATAACCTCTATAAAAGTCACCTTGGAAACTGCAATACCTGTTTCAAAGAACTAGATACAGACAGTTTCAGACGGCAGATCATTTTCTTTTATCATTTTTGTAAATAACTACATAAATTTGCATCTATATCAGCATCTCATTACCTGTTATTTTATTTTTTACTATTTAACTGTTTGAGTGCAGTACAGAAAACTAGCATAGCAATTATTAGAAAAAATTTACCTGTTCTACTATTTGGTACTCAATAACTACAAGTTCCGTTTTCACTTACGTGTGTGGGTGTCTGAGACCCTTTCAGCATTGGTTTCATTTGAGAAAACACATACTTTTAAATGCCTTACTACAGCATTCAGAAATGCAAGAAGGAAATACCATCCTATTGTATGAGCACTTATCCAGTCCCATAGTGTACGGTGGATTGCACAGTTTTTTCACTTGTTTGTCAAGCATAGGTTTTTCACGTTCTACACAGTCGACTGCTTTTCCTAATCTAATGTCAGCATAAAGTCCAACCACTACTGATAGCAGCGTTATGAAAGAAAAAGGAGAGCACTAGTTTTACCTGAAAATAGTGCTCAACTGTTAGGATGATTGCTTTACGCACCTCATCATTCTTCTGGAGTGTACTAAGCTACATTACCTTCTTTCTCATCATCTCCTTATATTCTGCTAAAACTGGCCTGCTTTTCTGATGAAATCAGTAAGCGTTTTACAGCTGATAGATTCACAGTCTTTGTGAGAGATGTTCTGTTAACACTTTCAAAACATGAGTTAATGTATGCAGTTCAAAACAGGTTACTTTAAGTTATTATGTACTATGCTGTTGCTGCGTCTCATCTACCTTTGAAAATGAGCTCATTTAATGTTTGCACAGCACTAAGTCATCTAATAAAAGCTGTGCCAGGCAGAGCCTTGTCCAAGGACTGATCTAGAAGAAACTCTTAATTGTACACTATATTGGGGAAAAAAAAAAAAAATCCTTAATATCTCTTCTTTTACTACAACATTGACTTGGATGCAGAGTTCCCTATGCTGTTTGAAGTTAAGCTACAATAATTAATATGCCCTTGAATTCCCATTTTGCTCCATATACTGATCAAGAGTACTGATACTTCCATTCTAGAAATTACAGTCACAAGCAGATAACCAGTGATAGCTCATTTGCATGAAACATGGGCTTCTGACTGTTTTGAACTTTGGAAGATCCCTAAGAGATGCAGTAATTCTGAGTTCCTAAATCTTGCTCCACCTCAGTGTGTGCAATTTAAAACAGACTGAACATACTACAGACTATCATAAAAAGATCTTGAGATACTCAAGATTTAACTAACACAAGGTTAGTTCAGGTGTTAAGTACAATTATGTGCAACTTCAGAGAGCATTTTTCTTTGGAAAAAATACACTCCTACAACTGCTTCTCAGAGTGGCCTTCCATCACCTTTTTTTTTTTTTTTATGAAGGTTTCTTTTTAACCTCTAATTACAAGAAGTGGCACCAGCACAAGAAATAACGAAGTTATATTTTCAAAATGGAACTTGAAATTCTAATTTTTTACCAGGATTTTTCTGTATATTTGAACATTTTCTACAGGACAAGATTGTACGGCTTACATTCCAAGTTGGGATTCCTGTAAAAACTGCAGACATTCCAAAACCTAACACTGACAGTATTAAAGATGTCTGAAAAAGTAATTATTTTGGATGTAGTTGACTTGCAGTACTGAGCATAGAAAAAGTGGTGTTTTTATCCAACGTTAATGAAACTGAAAAATGCTGGTGCAAATAAGATATTAAAATAGAACATTCACTAATTATGTGCACACTATTGACTACATGTAGAAGACATATGATACTGTAAATATGTATTACAAGTATACATGGATATTTTATTGAAAGACTAACAGATATTGCCAAATATTTTCTAATACAGAGAACTTTCATCTTTTCCTATTTCAGAAAATTATTTTCTGTTTCTAACTGTTCATAAGAACTTAAAGAATTATCTTATGTTTTGTTATCTGCCATACTTACTTACAGATTAAAAGAAATGTTCAATTACAATGTATATTTTTCTTATTCTTTTTTATGTTAATAAAATAATTTTTTCAAGCTAACAATACCACCGAATACAGACCTATGTTATGGTACTAAAACACAACTTTCAGTTTGGTGAAAGATTGAATGACTTTTATGATTGCTTTTTTTTTTTTTTTTTTGGAAAACAGAAGCAGGACCTCTCATTTTTTCTTAAGATATTACAAGTGTTATTTTCTGCATGAAATGTACTGTGTACTATTAGAAGGCTAAAGTGCAGTCATCGTATAATGAAAAGCAAAGGAATTAACTGTATGAAGAAAGAATTTGCATTACATTTGATCACAACAGGAGTTTCTCATTAACTTTTTTAATCTGTTAACAGTGGCATAAATCAGTCATGAGATTACCGCAGCAAATAAGAAAAGATTATCATTTCTGATACATAACTGTGAAGCGGTCACGTGATGTGCTATGAGAGCCAGATATCCTTAGATAAATAACATCAGACAAACCGAACACAGAGCAAGGTTTTGACCCATGGAACCTTCCAACCCAAACTGAACTGATATAAAAAATCATCTAGCAAGTTACTCAGTGATAGGTTGTTGACCATGAAATGCTATAAACAACAAAGAAATCTATAAACAAGCAAGAATCCAGCTATAACCTTGTACTTCGTAATAAGATTAATTGGAAAATCTTTTAAAAGTGTAAAGAATACAGATTACTCCTGAATATCATATAGTTGCTTGCTAAAACCTCCCAGTGTGACCATCATCGTGGAAGAGTTTAAAAAAAATACAATCAGCACCAAGAACATTTTCTTCAATCAAATTCTGCTTTGCTGTATCCAAACCAATTATTTGTTGCTTATAACAACTTCTCTTACCATCTCATGTAGGCTGGGTTTTCTGGTAAAATAACAAGTGTCTTTTCAGTAGGTTGGCCATTTCAAAATTCAATACAAGCTTAACTATAATCACACTTAGAGAGGGCTTTAAGTTTTGACAGGAGAACTGGATTTGTGTGTAGGAAGAGTCTTTGGGGTTCTTTTTTCCCCACAAATACTTGATGGAATTCTTATGTACAGATTTGTGCACTGTATTTTGGTACGACCAACACCTTTGATCTCTGTAAGACTAGTAGGCAGTAATGAAGAGCATTACCACACAGGAATAGTCAAGTCTTAGTAAATAAAATAAATGAAAATAATTCTATTAATGCAGCTACGAGTAGAGAAGAACCAAAATGAGAAATTCCAGTTACAATCAAATCAAAGACTGCGGCACAGAAATCAAGCAATTAAAAACATGAAGCACTAAGCCAAGACTGCAGTTACTATACATCCGTCTTCCCCGTTGTCTTTAAGTCACCAACATTACCAGTCAGGACTCTCTAGTCTTTTGCTCGCTCAGCTGGTATGCTATTTAAAATCTATGAACTACAAAAAACGCCAAGTCCATAGTTTGTCCAGCACCAGTTAAGTCAAGCAGTAGGTATTAATAGACCTGTCAGAAAATTGATAACATCTATGAAAATGCTTGCAATTCAAGTTTCAAGTTTCAGCAGTATTTTATTCAAAATTCCACCCAGCTCCACTAAACATCTGCAAGACACTATTAAACAAGTACATTTTTGAATATAATGTAGCAGTCATAGACTTTCATTCTCTGCATACACAACCACTGATCCACTAGATGGCAAGCTCTACTAAACTGGCCTCTGTTTTTTAGATGCTAATCAGTTGCTGCTTTGGATAA